CCAAATTCGGCAAATCATTTTGAGAAAAATAGGTTTTTAGAAAAGAAGTGCCAAACATGGACTGCTTTACCAGATACAGAGTGGCCACCTAAATATTTTTTATGGGGGAATTTAGGAAACCCTGACTCGGTGCCAAAGGCCACATGTCCATCATCACCAAAGTTGCCTCGGCTCGGGAGCTTGGGTACGATTGGGGAAGGTCAGCTATGAGCACCCCCTCTCGCCCGATCCATAGATCGGCCTCTACTAACCATGATATCTAGTTTTGAAAACGTTATGTGTTCTTATTCCATTTATTAGCCTAGAATTACTATGTTATGCGCGCAGCAAACAAGTATAGACCAAATCGCCTAAATTAGAACAAAACATTGCATGTTCGTTTTGAAGATGGTTTGCTACTCGCAAGTAGGCTAAAATGTAAGTTTTGCCACCCTTGAATGGGCTTTTAGAAAAAGATGGTTTTGCCACTATCTAGTGGGCTTAAAACTCACAGTTTTAATGCATTATTCCAATTTAGGTAATTCAACCTCCATCCACAGGCATTCAAGCAGTTATATCACATAAGCAGCTAGCCTCATGGTGATCATGTTGTTATGGCAACACTCACACGCATGCGGTATGCTAAAGCATAAATGCTTACCGAGTACTCCAAGCCAAAACAGAAACTAGTTAGTAATCATATGCATGATCCTAGTTTAAGATGGCTAATGCAACACATGCGAAATGCAACTAGAAATGGGCTCGGCTAATCTAAACATGGCATGTGAAATGCTACAACTAACACGTATTCAATTTGGAATTGAAACACAATGCAGTTAGCATGATGTGCCGAGCCTGGTGCATGCAAGACAAATGTATGAATGCACGCATGCATAGCATAAGGTATGCTAATTTAAATATGCCCTAGTCTACCATCATAAGCGGGTAAATAAAAGGGAAGAAAGACGTGGGGTTGGAAGACATACACACACTCACGCACACTTATTAAACAATTGCCCTCGCTCGGAGGGTCCAAAAGAATAATACAGTCCGAATAATGAATCAACTATCCTAGCTAATTAATTATTATAGACCCTCTAATTAATTAACAAATTAATAACAAAAGAAGGTGGCCACAGCCCCGCCTCGGGATGCGTGAATGATGCATTCTTGACTTGTCTCGCCCGGAAACTCGCTGCCATAGCACTGCCGCCTCTATTTTTCACTGCCCTGCTCCTCTGAGGACTGCCAAAGTCCAAGGGCATGCTCTCTGGATGTTGGGGAATACCACCGACCAAGTAGAAACACCACCGGCCTAAGAAGATGATCGCCGGCCGAATTTTAACCTGTCGGTTACAGATTACTGGCCGGTCGGCACTGTATTTAGCCGACCGGCCAAAGCTTCCTGCAGAACCTGCAATTGACAGCAGCAGAGGGCAAGCAGTGTATGGCATGGAATTTTCAGGCAAATATATGCATGGCCACACCCCCTATCATGCAATGGACTCAAGGGAGCATGGCCCTCGACCCTCGGACCACCAATTGCGCATTTCTATGTATGATGGCCGAAGAGTCAAGTATGCATTTTAATGTCAAATGCAATACACGCAAAACATACAAGGGACCCAACCTCAATCATGGTTGATCAAGAGGCGAGACAATGCACCAAGATGCACATGCGACCTAAGCATGCAAGCAAACATACAAACATGCAATGCAACTACATGGCATACACAATGCTAACAACATAACATGCACAACGCATTGAAACATGGCATACACAATGCAGGATGGACTTATACCAATGTGAGTGGACCTCAGCCACACTCACATCAGTGGCCAAAAAGATGGAAATGAGGCAACCGAAATGCACACAAATATGTCCAATGCATGGACCGATCCTAAGATACAACATGCAACTCTAACTAAGCATGGAAAATGATGAAACATGGCATATGAACATGCAAATTCCAGCACTGAAGTGTGATGCCCAATGGTCCCGAATCATGCAAATATGTCATACAATGCATGCTATAAGCCCCGAAACTCAAAACTAGGCACATATATTGACTTATAGCTATACAAAGCATGCATTATTTGACTATGAAGAACAAAGACAGAGCCAAGGCAGTCCCAAAACATGGCCAAAAGATGCTAGCAAGATGGATTAAAATAGCATGCAATTTTGACTAGCAAACATGGTTTACATGGCAAGTATAGGATGCACATGGAATCTCACCAAACCAGCAAAAATCAGTGAATAAAACATGTGAAAATAGGCCCACATAACCACTGATATGCAACCATGGCATGCAAAAATGATGAGTTACTTTAGAGGGTCATGCAAGGAGTCATTTAGCACATGCAAGATAGGCATTTGGCATGGTATAAAAACTATGAAAATCAAATATGGTAGTCCCAAAACTCACCAAATTGACCTTGGAAAATGACTCCAAAGCATGCAAGATAGGGTCTCTTTGGAAGGCCAAAATGACCACCAAACAAGTCAAGGTGAGACGGGGTCACCCCCCTCTGATTTGGAAGCTCAAAACAGTGTCTTAGCCACTAAAAATCCACTGGATTTCAGTGGCTAGAAGGCCAAACAAAGCATGCAACAAGGGCTTAGGTGTAAGGCTCAAAATAGGAGACAATCAAGCATACAAGGAAGCATATGACCTCAAAAAAAAATTGAACCTTAAACAAACTTGAATATGAGATTAAAACAAGATATTTTTCAGTTTATGACAACTCTCAAAAACAAACACAAGTAGGGCTAATCTATCATGCAAAAATGGCCCTAAAAGAGAGAATAGAGACAAGGGACAACATCTGGCCTCAAACAGTGAAGAGCCCTTCAAAAAAGTTGAAGAGGGGCTCAAAACAAGGCACTTTACAGTTTATGTCAAGCTTCGAAAATAATCACAAGTAGGCCTAAAATATCATGCAAGAAAAAGGCCTAAAAGAGAGATAAAGAGACAAGTGATAGCTTCTGGCCTCAAAAAGAGGAGAGCCCTTCAACAAAGTTGAAGAGGGGCTCAAAACAAGACATTTCACAGTTTATGACCAAGTCCGAAACAGCTCACAAATAAGCCTAAAATATCATGCAAAAATAGGCCTAAAAGAGAGTTTAAACACAAAGGGGGAGGAGGAGACCTCAAACAGGGAAAGACCCTTGATCAAACATGAAAAGGAGCTCAAAATATGACTATTTACAGTTTAGGTTGGAGCCCAAAAATACTTGCAAATAAGGCTAACCAATCATACAAAATAAGGCAAGAAAAGGGGAAATAGGGACTCACCCTTGAAGAGAAGCTTTCCAGCAGCTTTTGGTCCAAATTTCTGAGCTTTTAACCTTTGCAAATGGCCTCCAAGGTGCTGGAATGAGTAGTGGAGGTGTTGTGCTATGGGTTATAGAGTAAAGGGGGCAAAAACCTTAGGGTTTGAAGGGTTTGGAAGGGAGAGATAGGGAGAGAGCTGAGAATTTTAGAGAGAGAGAGAGAATTTTTTTTTTCTTCAAGTTGTATCTCTTTTCCTCCAAGTTGCATCTCTCTTCCTCTCCCCCTCCCCTTGTAAGAGAGCTTGATTGATATAGATATATCAATCTGCAGCCCCCTCAGAACTCCCACGTCCAGGCATGGGCTGGGGTATGGCCTGGAATGACAACTGCCAGCTGTCTACAGAAATATCTGTTGAAAACCACATTTGGCCGGCCGGCCATCAAAGTGGTCGACCGGCAGTCAAATTGGCCGACCGGCCATCACATTTGGCCGATTGAAAATCAAGGTGGCCGGTGGGCAGAAGACTTGGTCGACAGGCTCCCCCCTTCTCAGGGACACATCCACAAGCTCTTGGTGCAACCAAGCACAAAACAGAGAAGTTAAGAGATTCTAAGGCAAGGCGCGCAGCCAAGACTTTTCGAAACTCAAAACAAACACAAGTATGGATAATCATCGCGTATTCAAACGATGACGTCCAAGCCTTGAGGACGGTCAAAAATGGGGTGTCTACAATATGCTACTTCCCCAATCCTCTCCAATATCTCGAAAGGCCCAATGAACCTTGGAGACAACCTACCACTCTTACCGAACCTCATCAAAGTTCGCCTAGGTGAGATCTTAAGGAACACGTGATCACTTACTTCAAAAGATAAAGGTCGTCTACTCTTATCGGCACAACATTTCTGTCGGCTTTGGGTCATAGCCAACCTCTTTCTGATGAGAGCAACTTTCCCGGTTGTCTCCCTCACGCTTTTCGGGCCCAACAAAGGTGCATCGCCCACCTCAGCCCATCAAACTAGTGTCCTACAAGGTCGGCCATACAAGGCCTCAAACGGTGCCAAGGAAAACCTCCCAACTAACCAAGGAAACACAACACTAACTTCTGGTCACAACCAAAATTGGAATACCACCCCGACTCTAGGAATGCCAAGGATACCAAATTAGTCAAGAGCACAAGGAAAGGGTCACAGACTTCCCCTCGATTCACACCACTAACTGGGTCTATGAGACTGGAACAACAAACAACCGCGGCAACCCCAAGCACACCCTGGGTATCCACTACCACTAACCCAAACACTCTTCATGCTTCGCACTCCAACAAGATGGGGACTAGATTTTCACCACAAGATCCTTGGTTACCTCGTTAAAGGAAAAAGGTTACAACAAAACTCGGCTCAAGACAAGACTCCAGCCTAACAAGTTCTTACAACACCCAACCATTCAACGCCCAACCATTCACATAACCGAATATACAAAATTCAAGATTTAGCAATACAATTAAAGCAGTTATAGCATGCCAATCATAACGGTATGATAATTAACAATTCATTCTCAAAAGAAAATTTCATCTTTTCCCAATTCTTGGTAAAAATTGTTTCTTTTACATATAAAACATTTTCTTAAGGGTGTTCCAAAACTCACACCGATCATTAGCCAAAATACATTTTCTGCCTTACAAGTAAAACCCAAATTTCATTTGTTTTCCAGTACCATTCTTACATAACAACCGGTGAACCTCTACCATCACCCAATAACGCCCATCACCCACACGGCGATGCCACAACCAACATAACATATCATTTTCGCAATGTTCATTAACATTTCCACATCACTTCCACCAATCTTCACTAGACTCTAAGGTCTCACGTTCCTCAAAGTTACCAAAATAAAAAGCTTACACTTTTAGCCCTCATTCCAACACTACGCTAGTCACAAAGATTTTCCGCGTATCTCTCATTTTCCACAAACTAATTAAGAATTTAAAGGTCATCGCACGACCAACACAAAGTTTAACATTTATTATACAACAAGACTAGGATCATCAATATCCTTAACAACCTTTCAGTACACATACAGAAAAGGGTATTCAAGGCTCATTGCATGCCCAACACATAAGGGTCTACAAACAACAATGCATATACATATACAACACATAACCACGGTGCCCTAGCACCCTATAGCACACCGACCAATAACAAAAGCTTCACAGCTAACAACATCGATCTTTAAAACAAAGGTCCCTCCCTAAAGGGTGGTACTACTGTACTAGTTGAAAAGTTGACCCTCGCGAAGCTCTCGAAGCCTGGCCTCTCCGGGCCTGATACCGATAACGTCCCCGACTGGACTGATGGGACAAAGTCTGACTAGATTCTAAAACACCGGAAAGATCTACACGTAAAGGGCAAAAATGTCCAGCATGGCCCCTCTGACCACAATTAAAACAAACAATGGCCTCCCAACTCTGAACCCGATTTGGAGCCTGAACCTTACTAGATCCCCCAACGGCCAAACTCGAAACCCCTAATGAAAACAAGGAACGAGTCTGCGAGTGAGCATGCGCTCGCCTCCATCTCTTGCTAAGTCTAGGGTGCTTATGAACTATAGGAGTTACCGAAGTGGCCTCTTCCCTAGCTCGACCCATACTACTAACCACGACCTCTGCATGGGTCGCCGCCTTAACTAGATCATAATGATTCTTCCACTTAGATCTAACCACCTTCTCCCGGATATCATCACGCAACCATCTCTCAAACTCATAGCAACGACGCTCCTCAGTTGCCACCAATTTTGGAGCAAATCTTGACAAACTAGTGAACCTCATCTCAAACTGAGCCAAAGGGGTAACATCCTGACGCAACTCAACAAATTGTTCCCCTAACCTTTCCCGCGTAGAAAGAGGAAAATACTTGGCCAAGAAGGCCTCGGTAAACGCAACCCACGTGGCACCTATAGTACCTTTCGTATACTTCTGCCAATAATTCGCATTCCCCTGCAATAGGAAGGTTGCCAAGGAAACCCTCAACCCCTCATCCTCAACTCTAAGCATGTCAAGAGTCTTGGTAATCTGTTCCAACCAACTCCCTGACTCCAGCAGTCTTGCCTCTCCCAAAAATTCCGGTGCACTGGAGCGAAGAAACTCCTTAGTAAGCTTGAGGGTACGCCCGTTGTCCCCCTCATTGTGAGCTAGAGCATCTTAGCATCTTGCACCGCTCTCACAACCTCGCGTGCAACTTCCTCGCCGACAGTCGATGCTGTAACGACAAGTGCTAGGGGAACCGCCATGCCCCTACCGACACTCCTATTACCCATCCGTCCTCTACTTCCTCGTGTAGACATCCTATAAAATTCAAAAACAAAATCAACTAAGTGCACGACGCAACAGCCTCCCCGAGGCACACACCCTCACCACCACGACCTTGAACCCTTCCCGACATCCTAATTAAGGAACAAGATAGATAAATTCGCACATATTTCCAAATGTACTCGTGACTTGCCTCAGACGTAAAACTAATACAATTACACATATTCTAGCACATAGGCAATCCATTTCACTCCACATAAGCACGTAGTCACATAAGCACATACGAATTATCCTTTAGTGATGAGAGTTGTCCCATGAGAAGCCAAGAATTCTTAGTAGAATGGGTATTGATCAGGTACCCTTCTAATAAGACCTCAAGGAATCTAATAGGCGCAAATAACATCCCAAAAGTCAAATCCCATAACCACATAGTCACATAAGCATGCTATCACATAATCACATAAACAAAACATTTCCTAATCATGCGAAATGAAACCATTGTGGTATAACAACCACTCCCCACGAGCCCCAAGTATTCAAACCCGGTAGCTCTGATACCAAGTTGTAAGAACTTGTTAGGCTGGAGTCTTGTCTTGAGCCGAGTTTTGTTGTAACCTTTTTCCTTTAACGAGGTAACCAAGGATCTTGTGGTGAAAATCTAGTCCCCATCTTGTTGGAGTGCGAAGCATGGTGAGTGTTTGGGTTAGTGGTAATTGACTAACTAATTAGCAAATTAACTAACTACACAAAGTAGTTAAAATAGCCTCTAGGAGAGGGGTGTATGCATGCTCGGTCGACTTCACTCAGAAATCCAATATCGTGCCTCATGTTGTCTCTGTTTCCACACTTCTGTATCTCTAAAAATTGTGCCAACTTTCATAGTGCTTTTGACCCACCTTAGGAACAATCTGAGAGGTGGTCGGCCAGGAGGAATGGCCATCGGCCAAGTGTAATAGTCATCGGCCAAATTTCAAGGTTATCGGCCAATTTTGATAGCCGATCGGCACACTAGATAGCCAATCGGCCACTTCTTCCTGCAAACTTCTCCTTTTGCTGCAACAAAGCACTAAGAGAGGCATAGTAGTGTATTTGCAAGAAAATATGTGTGCAACCACACTCCTTATCATGTTTAAAGCTCAAAGGAGTGTAGTGCTCGACTCTTGAGCCATCAATCACCCATCTCAATGCATGATGGCCAAAGAGGCCGAGTTGCACAAATCAATGGCAAATGAATGCACAAAAACACATAAATGCCTTAACCTCTATCATGCATGATCAAGAGGGTCGGTGACTGAGAAATGAGGCACATTTCATCACTTCAAGTACGAAACGTCCCTCGTTTCCCGTGTTTGGACTAACACCCTATCCAAACACAATGCAAAGTGCACAACATAGAAATGCAATGCAATGCAACATAAGCATGCCAAATGCAATGCAACTCAAGCATGCACACATGATGCAATGTAACAACATTCAAACAACATGCTCAATGGACTTAAATCGAAAATGGACAGACCTTAATCATGCCCAAATCAGTGGCCAAAATGCTATGAAATGATGGCATGAAGAGCATGAAAAGGGAAGACGAACATGCATGCCAATTGGCTCAAGAATTAAGGCATTAAGGTGCAACTCTTAAGAGCATTTAAAGAATGAAAAGCATGGATGTGTGAAAACACTATAAGCTCTAAAATCATGTATGGAATGGTGCCAAATCACTCAAACAACACAAGTATGGCATGCAAGAAGGCTCAAAGCTTGAAGCTAGCATAGGCACTTGCACTATAGCTATACAAAACATGAAGCATATAGCCAAGACAGCCCAAAACAGTCCTAGACCATGCCAAAATGAGTCTAAAACATGCATGGAGTATCACCAAAACAAGCTAGCGTGAAGGGCATGAAGCATGAACTTGCAAGGCTAATAAGGAGTATTATACTACACCTATCAAAACCAAGCATGAGGTGACTTCAACAACAAAAATCATAGTTATATCATGGCAAAATGAGACCAAATACACACTGATATGGCAGCTTACAAGCTTAGGCAAAATGGCATACGCAATGGCTCATTCTTAAGGCATAAAGAACCAACTCTTCAAAGCATTGAAAGAGTGACAAATGTGAGTGCATGACCATGAAGCATGCACTGAAATCCCATAACAAATGATTCCAAATCATGCAAATACTCCAAGCAAGGCATGCTAGTGGACTCAATATGCAAAGCTAATGAGCAAGATTAAACCATGGCTATACAAAGCAATGCATGCATGATCCAAAACACTTAAAATAGAGCTAGAGCATACTAAAACATGAACAAAAGCTTCTTGAAGTTGAGCCAAAAGCATGCTAGAATGATGGCCAAAAGCATGATGCATGTTAGGCTAGTGAATGGATTTGCACTACAAGTGCAAGGAGCATGCATGATATGATCAAACCAAGCCAAAACAGTGTTATATCATGGCAAACAAGGCCTAAGACATGCTGAAATAGAGCCACAAAGAGGTAGAAAAACATGCCAACTTGGTGAGCCATCAACACAAGCACACAAGACACAAGGAGAGGGTCATCCCCTCTCCTATTTAAGACCTCAAAACACACTTTCCACCACTAAAACTCCTCTAGAATTCAGTGGTAGAAAGGTCATGCAAAGACAAAAACAGGAGCCTAAAGTGATGGCTCAAAACAAGGCCAAACAAGGTCCCAAAGGGGGTAGACCACCCCCAACACCAACAAGACCTTAAACAATCATTTCAAACACATGAAAATGAAGCTTTTTACAGTTGAGAGTTAAGCCAAAATAAGCATGCAAATAAGGCTAAGTAAGCAATGAACACAAAGCTTAAAAGAGGGTTAGTGACTCACCCTTTTAGAACAACTTCAAAGAGGCAATTCCAGCAACTTTCTGAACTAAAAAACCAAACTTTGAGTTCAAACAAAACCCTCAAGTACCTCAGCAACAAGAGTATGGTGTTCTACTAGGTGTTGTAGTGCAAAAGTGAAGACAAAACACACTTTAAGGCACAAACAAGCACAAATATAGAGAGAGAGAGATAGAGATATAGATATCTTGTATATCAATTTTTTAGAACCTCTGTAAAGGGAGAGGGGTCTCCCTTCTTATAGAAAATCAAATCTCAATCTTGTTGAGCAAGCTTGAGACTTGTTTCAATCCCTCCATATGGAGGATGAAATCTGTGCTCACCAGCTGTCACAGCTAGCACAAAAATATCTACAAAAGCAGGTAAAAAGGGCTCGGCCAAAAGATATGGCTGATCGACCAAAAAGGGTGCCGATCGGCCACCACTAATGGCCGATAGCAAGAAGACAAGGCCGATAAGCACAAGGCTTGGCCGATGGGTTGTAGGGATGGCTAACAAGCCACCCTCTTCCCTCAGAAGCAAAACCACAAGTCCTTGGTCCACAACCAAGCACAAAACAGACAGGTTGAGAGATCCTAAGGCAAGGCGTGCAGCCAAGACCTTCAGGAACTCAAAACGAACACAAGCATGGATGATCATCGAGCGTTCAAATGATGACGTCCAAGTCTTGAGGACGGTCAAAAATAGGGTGTCCACAGTTGCCCCTCTTTGACAAAACTCGAAAGTCATAACATGACGGGAGTGAATGTCAAAGCCCAGAGACGACCCATTTTTGACTAGGCCGAAGACTTAGACAAGCATACAAGATAACAAAGAGATGCGCCCGCAGGCAGGGGCAAAATGCAAATGACATGCACAATGCCGAACATAACTTATGATCATGCAAAGAAAGCTGTAATGAAGCATTTATGAGGAACAAATACAACATTTTAAGCAAGCGAATAAGAAACAACAGTCTCAAACATCCTAACAGAAAGGATGTAAGAAAATTATGCAATCCTCACTGCGTCTCACGCGGAGAAGGTTAAAAGCGACTATCGAGAACACCCGTGGTCTCAAACACAACATCTCTCAGCGTATCACGCGCAGGAGAGGAAAGAAAGCATCTCTCAGCGTAGCATACGCAAGAGAGGGAAGAAAGCATCTCTCAGCGTAGCACACGCAAAAGAGGGAAGAAAGCGTCTCTTAGCGTAGCACACGCAAGAGAGGAAAGAAATCGTCTCTCAGCGTAGCACACGGAAGAGAGGGAAAAGAGCATCTCTTAGCGTAGCATACGCCAGAGAGGAAAGAGAGCATCTCTCAGCGTAGCACACGCAAGAGAGGAAAAAAAGCAGTGCAAGCACTGAGGAGTTGCACAAACATCAAAGTGCGTCCCAATGCTTCTAACAAGGGCATAGCGTAAACACCGAGCGCACCCAGGTGTTCTCAATCAAAACAAAACGAACTCTAAGGACAGGAAAGGTCTTACCTGGAATTCCTCTAAATGAACCGTTCATACAATACCGTCTGGTTGCACCAGCCTCAAATGAACCGTACATACAATATCGTGCCTGCAAAAAAAAGAAACTCAATAGGTACAATAGAGCAGCAATCCATGTTCAACGTTGCATCAAGATACAATTCTAATACGAAATAAACGCGTGCACATAGGATACCAATGGAAAAGTGTATAGCAATGCAAGTGAAAAGTGCATAACAATGCAAGTGAAAAGTGCATGACAATGCAACAAGTGTGCGCGACAACGCAATTAAGGTGTTCATGACAATGCAACAAGTGTGCATGACAATGCAACTGAAAGAGTGCATAACAATGCGGGCGAAACATGCGTGACAACGCAAGCAAAGAGTGCATAACAATGCGGG